GGTGCAAATGGAACGTCCCGGGCGGCAACAGCGCCGGCAAGATGGCCGTCGGCAGCTATCTCGAGGACAACCACAACTTCATCCGCATTCTCGACACGCAAATAGCGCCCCAAGACACCTCCGCCCCCGGCGCGACACCCTACGGCCTCGAGTACAACGCAATCGCCGAAGCCACCTGTTCCTTCCCCGTCACGCGCATACTATGGGAGCCGCCGTCGTCGCAGAAGCAGTCGACCGATCTCCTCGCAACGTCTGGCGACCATCTGCGCTTGTGGTCGCTGCCCCAGGCCTCCGGAAACAACATGAGCAACACCATCACGCGCTCGTCCTCCGTAAACACGCGAGAGCCTCAGCTCCCTAAGCTCACGCCACTCGCCCTCCTCTCCAACTCCAAGACCCCTGAACACACCGCGCCGCTGACCTCCCTCGATTGGAATACCATGTCGCCCAAGCTCATCATCACCTCCAGCATAGACACGACGTGCACCATCTGGGACATACCCTCGCTTACCGCCAAGACCCAATTGATTGCCCACGACAAGGAGGTCTTCGATGTACGCTTCTGCGCGGGAAGCGTCGATGTCTTTGTCAGTTGTGGAGCTGACGGCAGTGTCCGCATGTTCGATCTCCGCAGTTTAGAGCACAGCACCATCATCTACGAGCCCTCAGACAAGGGCGGCGACAAAGACAAGGGTCAGTTTCTGCATTCACTTTCGACGCCAATTGCTAACAAGTCCCAGGCTCGCCAACAGGCCGCATGTCGCCCACCAAAGCCCAGCAGACCATGTCGTACGCGCCCCCGCTCCTCCGTCTCGCCGCATCACCCCACGACTCCCACCTCCTCGCTACCTTCGCCGCCGACTCAAACCTCATCCGCATCCTCGACGTGCGGCAGCCAGGCCAAGCCCTACTCGAACTGCGCGGCCACTCTGCGTCCGTCAACAGCATAGAGTGGAACCCATCGCGGAGAGGCATGCTTGCCTCTGGTGGAGACGACTCCCTCGTCCTCATCTGGGACCTGCTACACGCAAACAACGGCGCGACAATCAGCGGGGAACACGCTTCAACACAGCCTCCCATCGTACAGCCCGCGACCACACATCCCGCCAACGGAGCCGCGGGTGCGCAGAATGTGCCTGTAGGCCAGAAGGGACCCTACGCCAGCTGGAGGTGCGACTACGAAGTCGGCAACATTAGCTGGGCACCTCAGAGCGCTCTGACAGGGCAAGGCGGTGAATGGGTCGGCGTCGCTGGTGGACGTGGTGTTTGGGGCGTCAAGTTATGATGAGTCTCGATTCCGTGTTGATAACCTCAGTTCAGACTTCGTACGACCGCCATGTTTTGCCTTGGAATGCCAACTGTATGAATGACGCATTGTTTCCGATTAGGGCAATGGGTGGGATTGATAAAAGTGTACAGCTCTTGTTATCTTGCTCTCTGAGCACAATAGTTTGGTGGTGGGGGCGTTAGTGGTGGGTTTTGCATGCATATAAGATACCTGGAAGTGAAAGACTTGTCTTTTCTACATGACGACTTTGGATGCAATGACGTTTCCCATTGCATATTTTTCTCTTCCCCATCGTTGCCTTGTTCAATCTTTTTCTTGGGCAATGTTGGCTTATCGTATGACGACTTCCACAACAACCTCATTGCTCCAACCAGCTTTCGAATCAGTCTCCTTCCACGCCCGCACCGTATCAATCTCAAGCACGTTCTCGCATTCCTTGCTGACACTGACGCAATGTGCTGGAACAGGGCGGCCGAACAACACGGCGAAGAAGTCGTTTTCGATGGAGCGTTTTGGGAGGTCCGAGATGTAGAGTGCTGTGACGCGTTAGTAAGTATCGAAACCATGATGAGAAGAGGGGAGCAAAGGGATGCTGAGAAGGAAATTGGGAAGTGGAAATGACGGAGAGAAAAAACATACCAAACCTCCCCAAAACCTTACAACTCGTCCAAACCCTCAGTCGCCCCGAACTGCGATCCACATACGCATCCGCACTAACAATCGCCGCCGCCCCCGTCATCTTACCCACAATCCCCAAGTTCGCAACACTCACTTTCCTTGGTCCCTTAGCCTCACTGTCCTCCCCTCTTTGCAGTTCAAACTCCATCAACGGGAACGCAGACAGGATCTCCCAGCCACGAACCGGAAGTTCGATATGCACAAACGCATCGTTAGTCGCTACACTCGTTGGAGCCGTGACTTGGCCGTCTGTGTGCGAGCGGATGATGTAGGTACCTTTTTCTGCGCCGGGGAAGGCGTCGAGGGCGATGAGTTCGGAGATGGGTTTGGGAGTGCAGTTGAAGACGCCGAGGATGGAGACGCCGGTGTGGGCCATGCCGACGTAGGTGGTTACTTTGAGGAGGACGGTGTCGTCGTATGCGTTGTAGGCTTGTGTTGTTTTACCCACAGTATAGGGGCGGAGGATAACCGTGTCGCCGCGTGGCGTCTTACCTGTCATCTGGTTGATGAGGTCGATGTCGTGCTGTCCGGGGACGTCGGTGATGTAGATGGGGCCGCTGGAGACGCAGCGTGCGGCGGCGTGGAAGGCGGCGTAGTCGTGGCTCGTTTGGAACATGTCCCAATCGGGGAGTATGTTGAGGTATTGCGTTATGATGGAATTGTGGGCGTTGCAGAAGATGTGCCAGGGATGGCTTGCAGGTACCTCAGGGAAGAAGTCATCCGAGTTACGCAGCAGCATGCGTGGTTTGTTCGAGGGTAATTGCGAGTGGAAGATTAGGGGCGGGGCTTGTGACATGCAGGATATGGCGCGCGCGGAGAAGGAACGGAGTTGGGCGATGGACCAGGCGTCTTGGTAGGATTTGATTAGCTTGCGGCGGTCGTCGGAGTCGTGGAGTTCGTCGAGGAAGAATTGAGCGTCGGTTTTGACGGAGTCGATGCCGCAGGAAGAGAGGAATTCGTAGAAGTCTTTGTAGAAGCGGGAGACGTCTTCTTCGGCTACGACGGTGATCTTGCCACCGGATACGCCATCTTTGAGTTGGACGAGACTGGTTTTGTAGTCTTTTGCTATACGGCCTTCGGGTGCGATGCCACCCCAGTAGCCAAACATGGCATGCCATACAGCAATGTGGCGGATGTGGCTGTACTTCTCTCGTATGTCACTGACTGTGGCTTTGAGACCACGAGGGAAGCCTTTCTTCGTTGCCTCGAACTCTGTCATGGCGTTGTCGAATTGGTCGCCGCCTTCGGTGTTGAGTGACTGCCAGTTGTCGTCGATGATCAAGTTGCTGATATTGATTTCGTTCTTGCGTAGTGACTCCAGTGCCTCGAAGATTTTGTCTTCATTGAGCTTCTGGCCTAAGCCGTTCCAGGTGCAGTACGTCAAGCCATCATACCAGTTCTCCAGCCACTGCGGTTTGAAGTCGTCAATCAAGGCCTTTTCTTCTTCGCTGACCAGTCCTGCCGATACTTGGTATGCCATTACGAGTTTGCGAGCATAGTACATTGAAGCTGCTACTGCGTCGTCTAGCTTCATGCCCACTGCAGCAACGATACGCACGGTGCCATCTTTTTCGCTATCGTTCCTGGCGTTCATGACGACTCTGCCGTCGCCGTCATGATTGAGAGTTGTCAATACTTCATCCAACCCACTCACGGCGAGCAGTGCCAGATGGGTGCCATCGTGACGCTCGAATGCGGCCAACATGGCATCCTTATCAGGTTGGAATCGGTCCTTGCCCTGTCTCGGTGCGAGCCATGGAGCCCATAGTCGTACTTCGGCGAACCAGCGGGAGAGATTCGTTGGCTTACCAAGCTTTTCTCCTGACAGACCAGGCTGCTTGCCTGACGCTGCACTGATGGGGTAGGTGAGGTCCCAAAGAACGGTGTTGGGCGTATCGCTTTGTTCTTTCGATATATTGAGGAATGGTGGCAGGCCCTCGAGATAGTAAGTCAAATCTTCTTTCAGCGCATCTGGTGACTGGTAGATGAGGCGACCGTCTGAGGTTGAGAATTGTTCGTTGGCCCACTTCCACGGTTCGTTCTGGGTATGTTAGTGAGAGCCCTCCGATCGATCAATTTACATGATCAGTTCAGCCAGACTATTATAGACCGAATGTTCAGGACCCACCTCTGAGGCTCTGAAAGTGATGGTATACGATAACGAAGAGCCGTGCTTGGGTCGTCCGGCCAAGTCGATTGTATAGTACTGGCGTTGTACATTAGAGTGACTGGGCTTGACTACCGTCTACTTGCGATTAGCTTCTGACGAGTCCAGGTGGCACGGTCGTTTGCTCACAACGCATGCCTCATCGTTTGGCTTTAAGCTAGTGCTTGTCCATTGATCAAGAGTATCAAAGTTGTGCCACAAAGCGACCTCCCATGCCTTCTCCGGCCCGGCTGAGCTCTCGATGACTACAGTAATCCTTACCTGAGTGTGTGATTAGATGAGACTTAGGTCTGGGTATAGATTGATCATACAGATTCTCGATCAGAGGGAATGGTAGTCGTCTGGCCCAGCGGAGGATGGCAGCTGAGTGCGGCGTACATGGTATCGAATGCAGAAAGTCAAGATAAGCTATGTAGTTAAGTAGGGTAATGATAGAAAGCACACAGAAAGACACGATGGACGGGACGGATGATGAGGAGAGTATTGAGTTTGCATTGACCAACAACTAAGGCATTCAGCAGCACAATGATGCATATGCAGGCACTAAGAGGCCGAGGAGGTGACGTGTGCGGACGCGGACGCGGAGGTCGGGGTAGCTGCGAGGTGCACTAGTCCCATCTTGGCATTTGGGAACATTTTGGCATGGGCCCAAGTTTTGATGCCGCTCAGTTGGCAGCCATGTCAGCCTTACGACGTCTACCACGGCCCCGGCCATTTGTCTGTCGGCAATGCATACGACATCAGCATGTGCTTGCCCGTGGTGAGCGACCGGCAGCGAGATGGGCCGACGAGGAACCCGACCCAGTAATACGCCAGGCGCAATGGGAGGAACACGCGGGACAAGTGCGGGCGGGGATGCACCAGAGCATGTTGAGTGTACTTGAAGAGCGTGGATTTGTGAAGGATGTCGCTGGGTGAGCACATGACGAACGGCTTCTTTCAATTATCGCTAATCATTACAGTGGACGCCAGACGCTCGACTGGCTGCTCACCGAAAAGCGCATCGGCGCATATGTCGGCGTAGACCCAACAGCCCCCTCTCTACATGTCGGCCACCTTCTCCCGCTTATGGCGCTGTACTGGATGTACCTCCATGGCTACTACACCGTCAGCTTGGTGAGCCACCCGCGACTCGATGCATACAACGCGAGTTAATCATGGCTAGTTAGGAGGAGGCACCGTCCAGATTGGCGACCCTTCTGGCAGAACAACGGCTCGGTCTCGGCAAGGCGAGGATGTGCAGTCTATGAATGTGGAGAGCATACAGCGCCAATTGGACAAGCTGTGGACGAATGTCAAATGCCTGGGCATCAAGTACCAGTACTCCCCCCTAGTCAGCCGAAAGCAGGATATCCTCAACAACAGGAGATGGCTGTCCCAGTTGAGTGCAGTTGAGCTGATGAGGGATCTGGGGTCTGGTATGCGCCTGGGTGCTATGCTCAGTCGCGACTCGTAAGTCCGCCATGTCTTGAGTAGAGAATGCCTCTTACACGTTTAGGGTCAAGCTACGAATGGAAAGCGGCGAAGGCATGGCTATATCCGAGTTCAGCTACCCCCTCTTCCAAGCCTACGACTGGTGGAGCATGTACCGGAACCAGGGCGTTCAACTACAAATAGGCGGATCTGACCAGTACGGAAACATCATTGCCGGCATGGGCGCCGTCAGTCATATGCGCAAGATACATCGCATGGACAACGGAGCAGAAGGCGACGAAGACCCAAGCGTAGCAACTTACGGTCTCACCACACCACTGCTTACAACAGCGTCTGGCGAAAAGTTTGGCAAGAGCGCGGGCAATGCAGTCTGGCTTGACGGCCAGATGATGAGCTCATTCGATCTGTACCAAGTACGCTTTGCGCAATGTTCTACGGTGCCATCACTGACAAATTATCCAGTACTTCCTCCGCACCGCAGACGCCGACGTAGAACGCTACCTCAAGCTCTTCACCTTCCTCCCCCTTGACGAGATCCGCCTCCTAATGAACCGCCAAAACCAAGACCCCTCCAAGCGCAACGCCCAACACATACTCGCCCGCGAAATCGTCGAGCTAGCACACGGAGCCGCAGACGCGAAGAAAGCTGAAGCCGCACACAAGGACGCGTTTGGTCAGGGAGCCCATACTTTCTCGCTATTCTCGCTGAGGAACGCGATTGCCGGTGACGAGGGCGACACCAGCGAGCAAAAAGAACACCTGAAGAAGGAGGACACAGAACTGCTAGAATACAAGAAAGCCTACGCCACTTCTTCGACCGCACAAGCTACTGCAAGCAGCCCACCCGAACGACCCCAGCACGACAAAGCAAATGTCATCACACTCCCGCTCTCCATGCTCCAAGCCGGATCCTTCCCCCACGTCCTCCACGCCGCCGGTCTCGCGAGTTCGAAATCCGAAGCGAGCCGCTTGATCGCGAAGAAGGGCGCGTACGTCATTGTACCCAATTCTGGTCCGCCTGATAACCCTACTGCGCTGAAGTGGGCGACTATCGAGCCGGGCAAGGAGGTCAATCCGTATCACTATCTCGTGGACTGGGAGGCGCTGGTGCTGAGGGCAGGGAAGAGTAAGATTCAGATTTGCAGGATACTTAAGGATGAGGTGGGTGAGGAGAAGACGGAGGAGGGACAATGAATATACAAGTATATATCACGTTCATTGCGGACGAGTTGCCTGTACGAATGCAATGTCATATGCTCCACTCTATACTATCGATCTATCCAAGTCTTCTGCTGTGTTGATGGGTATTCCATGTTGAGATATAGGAGTAATACCCAATAATCAGCCCGCTTCTGACTCTTCTATTCAATTCTTTCCAACTGATTGAATCGCCCTACCAGCGACCCTTCACGTCCCCAAACACCGACCGAACCTACCCACTCCCCTCACCCCATGCCTTGCATGCTGGAATCTCGTTCCGACACCGATCTTGCACGGCGCAAGCGGACTGCCTTGTACCTCTGCATCACCCACCTCCTTGCCCTTCCCCTTTTGTAGTCCGACACCGCCATTTTCGTTTTCATTCTCACTCCCGTTCATAGTATACCGCAACGCTCGTCGTTCTTTAATCGGCGACGTACGCGTTGAATGGTAACGAGACGGGCCGCGTTCGATACAGACGTTGGGGCTGAGGGGGCTAAGTTGAATACCGCCCTCTTCGAGGATCGGGCGGTTTACTGCGGGTTGGTGAGGGCGGATGGTGACAGTCGTTGGAGAAGGCGTTTGTGTCTGGGTTGGAGTGTGTGGCTGATTGCGAGATAGTCGAGGAGGTAGAGCTTTGAACAGGGGGGAGATGCGCAGGGTAGAGTCGGGTTCGAGAAATGGGTCTGGGATTGTGGTTGTGCTGATATGATGGGGTGACTGGGTGCTATCCTTGCTGAAGACGTCCTTCCAAGACGAAGAGCGCGGTAAATGGCTAGTAGACTGGTAGTCGAGTACATCTTCTATACCGCATGTCTCCTGTTCGTGTAGAGATGTGCTTGCAAGCCAGTCGTTGATACGATCCCTAGGCGGACCAGTAAGACTGGCAGTGCGGTTTCGAGAGCCAGCGATGAAATATCCAGAGTCGTCCGACCATGCCTCTGAACTCTGCTCAGATATGCGAGGACTGTTCGCCTGCGTCGCGTGCGATACCATTCGGAACGACGCTCTCGACATGTACGGGGACTCTGGACGTTGTACCGGAGAGATTGCGAGAGTAGCATATTGCTCATTCCTACCATGCTCCACTGGTGGGGAGGCCTTTCTGGAGATGTTTGGTAGCTGGGGATACGACACGCCTTGCTCAAGCTGGGGAGACTGATGGTCATGGCCGGCGTCTTCGAAGATCTGTCTCATCCGCGCGGCATGGCCAGCACGGGCTGGTGACTGTACCAGTGTTGAGCCATTGTTCGCACGCCGGACCCGGATATTGGCTAGTCGAGAAGGCGAGGGTGGAACTACACCTGGTCTTGAGAGGGTGGATGCTGTCACTGTTGGAGTATGGCCGTGGTCAATGAAGATGTCGTTCGTGAATGACCGGCTGTATGCGCCATGTGATGGCCCGAGGGCTACACCTCCGTCTGGAGAAGCCCCAGTATGCGGCAGTAAATGCCCAGAGCTCTGGTCGGGTGTCACGGGTTTGCGGAATGTGCGGCTGCATCCAATGGCGATACCCTACAATGGAGTTCAGTAACTTCTAGGAGCAATCCAGTCCTGCACCCTCCACGAACTTGCTGGGAGACCATGTTGATCGGCTGCGCGATTTCTCCATCGTCGTCCGTGGCCATCCGAGTCATCTCGGACATACTGAGCGTAGCTGTTCGCGTGGGTACTCGACGTTGCACGAGCGATGACTCGAGGACGGGTTCAGTTGTCGTACATGACTTTGTGGCTGGGAGGTCAATAGGGAGGCTGCAGCAATTGCACCAACGCTCCTACATACTGCAGCTATCCGTCGTGCCTGCCAATTGAGCCCGAGCAGTTACTTCCCCGCCATGTTTTGGTAGCACAGGCGCATACCAAGATTGCAGAGATAGACTCTTCTCACGAACAAGTCGCACATGTGTGGAGTGTAAACATTTTTCCGCAGGATTCAGTAGATTCAATAGTGTGGACATGAGTCTGGTGGTATAAGATCCATATATGACGTGTGCGGTACACGGGGATGCCCAGGTGGGGATCTTCGCTGATCTGGTAGCGACGACCGCAGCTTCCGTATGCACAGAGCACTTGCTCGGGTCGAGTCGACAGAGGCGTTGTCGGATGTTTCTTTTTTTGCCCATAATTTCCGCCACGCTGACATCACGTGGCAGACTGAGCCGGTGCCTGCCCAACGGCCACGTCCAAGGTTCTGCGCGAACTCTACCGGTGATTGCGCGACATAGTGTCAGCCTTGGGATATTTCAGAGACATCACGTCAAGGTTTTGGCGCGGTAGGACGAGACGCGGGACGGTGTAATCGACGCACCAAGGCCGCTGGATCTCGCTTGTCGATCGCTATCTATGGGACGCCTCGAATTGATTACTCCCAGCTGTCCACCTTCGATCCCGCCATCACGGTCACCGTGGTTCGGCATCTAATATCAATCCCGTCTTCCACAGCCATTCGTTGAGCCTCGCAAAATCAACTTCGATCGCGACCCTGCGTCCAATCTCGCTGGCTCGGCCCTTTCCCCGATCACTAGGATCCCTAGTGACAGCGTTGGAACGTTGCTGCGCACACCGTCAACGGCGCCCTCAGGCATAATGGTTCGCACTCCTGCAGGCACCCTTTGTGAGCGTCGCAGTAGGCGTATTGCCTGGCCCCAAAAAAGCGTCATGCATGCAGGAACAGCACGCGAGTGCTAAACTGGGCTGTCTTGGCCGGAACGACACTCGAGACCGAGTCGCGGGCCCGCCTCGTCTACGCAAGGTGATGCTATGTAAAACACACCATGGCCGCAAGCATCTGAAGCATCCTACAACATTACCGGATCGCCCCAAGTGCTGACAACCACGAATAACCACGAATAGCTCCTCAGGCGCACCTCGAGAAAACCTTACCCTCATCACAGTGAATGCAGCGGACGTTTTCGAAACGGCGCACGCTCTCGCACCAGCGCACGTTGGGCGCATCTTTGGGACCCTCTCCTCACCTCGTGCTGAGGCGGGAGCGTGTGCGTTGCCCGCGACTGTCGCACCATGCTGATTTCGATAGACGGTGACCAGTACGAGGCCCCTGAGTCGCCCGCGCATGTCGTGGCGTCTTCGCTTCCTGCACTACACCTTCTAGTCCGTGCTTCTAACTCTGAACCATGCCAACCTTGCGTGTTCCACAATCTGCCCTGCCTGCCACTCCAAAGTTTCTGTATTTGCGTGACATGTCGTCGCTGTCTCTCGTGCCTTTTGCCTATCCTCACTCTTTCCATTCCATCTCGGCCTGAAGCCATTCGCGAGCTCGAAGCTCTTGCGCCACCACCATTCTGTCGCATCCTAACTATTATACTTTCTTTTTACTACTTTCGACACCTCCGCGTAGCTTAGTCCCCGCATTTACCCTTTGTACATATTCCTTATACTTGGCTCAACGGCCTGTCACTCTATTCAACCGCCTTCGTTCATCGCGTGCTATCGATAGCCGTTCTTCCGACAACGCTCGTCTGACTTGGCTGCGAACCTCTTACTGTAAGTACATGGATTTTCTATGAAACCCCATTGGGATCAGCGCCACGGTGCTGCAACAGAGAACGTTACACCTTCCCTTCTTCCTCGCCTCTGCGTCCGCTCTCGTCGTATTTGGCATGTTATTGCTGGGCTGCATAGGCCCTTGGGCTATAGTGGCTCGGTTATACTCTGCATCACGGTGTACTCTCCGTCCGCAGAGCCCTTGCTGTCCTTGTTGAGTCCCTATTGAGCACCACCGATCATGCGAAGGACTCGTTCTGATCTGTGAGAGTAGGTTAGTCGATATCTGATACGGTGTATCAGTCACCTCCTGGTTCCTGGACCTCTGAAACCTCAGGCAACGGGCTGTCGCTCACGCAAGGAATCGCTGCTTTCCGCGTGTACCGACACGTATCAAATCACCGCGTCTGTTCCTGGAGTCTACCCTACTCTCACCTCTTTGCCTGTAATTTGGAGAAGGTACCTGGACCAGCATTCGGGAGCTCGAGTACCCCGGGGCCTGCGTGTCATACATGTCCGCATTGGCCATCAGCTGTCTTGCAACAAGTGCGTATGCGTCAACAGTCGCACAACAGTACCCACATTCAACACTCTTACAACCCACACGTTGCCTGGAGCAGACTCGACGACTCTACCAGTCACGCGCACCGAGGGTGTGAACCTCGCGTCGCACAACAACCTTTTACAGCCAGACTTGTGTCGAGTGGCACATTTACCGTCAACATTTCGACATCTAATTCATGAGTTACGATCCAAGACTGGGCGCCGCAGCATACGGTGCAACAGGCGCAAGCAGCGATGGAGACGCAAAGAAGGGCTCGGTACGGGCGGCGAGAGAGCGGATGCAGGCTGCGCAAAAGAGGACCCAACTCCCAGACACGTCGAAGATCATTGGTCTTCCCCGGCGACCAAACCAGCTCGTCATGCAGAATTCTCAGGAACGGATAGAACAGTCACAGCAAGCGGCGCCTTCGGGAAGCAGAGGTGACATTGATTCGGGATCGCCGTCACCACAATGGCCACTGCCAAACATTACTAGGGACAAAGCCGATCCGACACCTGTCTTACCACCTCGCTCTCCAGAAAGACTGAGACCACCGCCACAGTTTGCACGCCCTGTATCCGACGAGTTTCCTATACAGCAGCTCTCGCCCGATCTTCCCTCGCCGACCTCCCCAACATCAATATATCTACATCCGAATGCCGACACCTTCTCACCTAACTCATTTCGATCTTCGCGCCCAATCACTACATCGTCGATAGCCTCGGACTCCTCGATAGGCTCCATACCCGACTTTCCTGTACCCCAACCGCCTATGCCAAGTATCCAACAAGCGCGACGCTTTCCAAGTCTCGGTCCACCGCCCTCTTCGCGGAGAGGGCCTTCGTCGTACTACACGCAGATGTCGTATGTGTCACCCATCGTCGAGGAGTCGGAGAACAACTCCTCAAGGATACAGTCACAACGCGGGTCCTTTGCTTCTAGCAACGTATTCCCGACTAACAAGGATGATTTCTACCCCGATGACGACCTCTACTCGGACGACGGCGAAACCATAAACAGTCGCGATACCATCTCACCGACCCCGACCGACTCCGACGACCGAAGCGGCCTCGTACAGCAATCGCCCGCCCTTCTGCGGCAGGCGAGCTTGGGCAGGAGGACTAAGCCATCGCTGATGACTATCAAGTCAGTGGACAGCTTTGGAAACAAGAAGGGTGGACCTGAAGGGAAGAAGCCTGATGGCTCTAGGCTTGGCGCGGGGGCCATGGGCATCGGAGCCGCAACACTCGCAGCGAGGGATGGCAGTCCGTCGGGTATTTCAAGACATCCTCTCAGCAGGTCCGTCTCTATGGACTCCATAGACACGATAGAGGACTTCAAGAGCAAGGCCGGAAACGTTGGGACTGCATCACCACTCCAACAGGAATTGCGACACCCCGGAATGTCCGAGCGTGCTGGTATGCGACGGCCCGCGAGGCTCGACATGGACGCGGTCCGGGACGCTGAAGCGCGCGGCAGCTTGACGAGTCTGCCAGATCTCATTCGAAGAGCCACGCGCCTGGCAGCGAACCTTGATCGCGGACGCACAGCAAGTCGGCTTGGGTTGGACTTTTGGGAAACTGGTGCTCCCGACAGGAACCAAGTTCGTCAGTCTGGATTGTCTGAGATGCTCGCCGCTTTCCCACCACCAGGTCAAGAAACTCCCAACCGCTCTGGCCGGGGTACCCCGAACTTCCGCAACGGCAGCATGACGAAGTGGCCGTCAGGTGGTAACGGACGCAACGGTGCTACCGACTCTGGATTCAGCAACGAAAAGCAGAAGCCGCGTCGAAGGTGCTGTGGTATGCCCTTGTGGACATTCATCACGCTCCTCATAGTCTTGCTTTTCGTCATCGCTGCCGCGGTCGTCATCCCCGTGTTCCTAGTCGTCCTACCAAACCAGAACAAGGGCGCCAATACCTCTGCCGCTCAAGAGACTCAAGGAAGTAACAACGGGGGTAACAACAACATGAACAATCCCAACGCACCTGCTGCACCACTCCCCACGTCCGGGCCGGGTCAAGGGAACGACCAATGTAGCGGTATCATTACCTGCCAGAACGGCGGTGTCGCCATACTCAACGGCGACCGATCGTGCAACTGTGTATGCATCAACGGCTTCACAGGAAAGACATGTACGAACGACGATGCTACTGGTTGCACCACGACCAGCATCGAGGGCACTGCCAACAACGCCACGATGGGCTCTGGTATTCCTCGCCTGATCGAGGTGACCGCCCCCAAGTTCAACGTTCCTTTGGATGCCACCCGTGTCTTGTCATTGTTCTCTCAGCTCTCGCTCAGTTGCGCAGCCGAGAACGCCCTCATTACCTTCAATGGTCTTGCTTCTCGTTCAATACCTCAGCGTCTTCATTCGATGGACTCAAGGACCGCACTTCACCCGTCGCGTACGCTCCCAGTACTCCACCATCCTCATCCTGCGCAGGTCCCTGGTCATCTAGCCAAGCGCCAAACGGTCGGCCAGGTCGACGAAGCCGAGGCTCCTAACGAACAAGCCAAAGCCCAGACGGAGGAGCTCGTAACACAGCCCATCTCGAGCAACATCAATGCTCTCGACTTTGCCCGTGTGGCGGTGCTCCTTGCGCTTCAGGAAAGCAAAGACCTAGACGTGGCCGCGAGCGCACAGGAGTCCATACAATCCCTGCTCACAGACGACCGCAACGGGAACTCCAATAGCGGCAGCATTGACGTCGGCCCCTTTGAACTAGATCTCGTCAACTTCACAATCGAGTTCCAGAACGGCACCACGATACGCGGACCACAGAGTACCTCATCCCGAGCTTGAGCATCTACACTTAGACCCAAGATTTTGCTTTTCACCTGCATAGCGATACCCTTTTTTGTCTTTTCGCCATCACATCATACATCTCTCTTTTCCATTACATTTCCATCTTGTCGCGATCCAATGTACGATATCGAAAGGGTGGGCGTGTGCCCTTGGACGGCACAGCGCAGGGCGTATCTCTTTTTCCTTGGTTTACTACTCCTTCATACAGTGTGTTCTCTTTATATACCCGTCCTGTGGACGCTTTGTCATGACCGATGGACTGGATCTAATGTATTTTTTGTTACGGTTGGTGGGAAATACCCTGAGGCGGAGTTTGATGTCAACGGCAGTCGCGATTCAGTACTAGAAGAAGAGGATAGTGGGTAGCATAGCGCAGAGACTATAGAAGTCAGGCTGATGTAGTGGAAATGATATAGTTCGTCAAAAAATGGCTTCGTCGTTCTATGTGTGCAGTTGGCGTTGTTTGGGTTCCTGATGAGCACAGGTATGGACCACGCATCTGAACAACATACTAACGGTAACCCAGGCCACTATGTCTATCTGCTATCCGTACGCACGTCCTAGACACGCTTCTGGTGTTCTTCTCGCTATCTCGCGTCGCTGATGTTCCCGCGTCCCCACGGTTCCTTCCATCCACCCTTCGCAACTTCCCCTTTCACTCCAACACAAACCTCCCAACCACCAAACACCATGACGTCTGCCACAACACAACTCAATGAAACAAACATTCCGCCACCCCGCTTATGGTCCCTCACCTCCACGACCTCCAAAAAAAGGGTCCAAAACAGCACTCGTCGCTGACCTAATCGCACTAAAGCCTCGCTGCCTGGAGTGCATAAAAGCTCACTCCCCCCGCCGTCGCTGCGACTCCTTGTCTACGCACTGACGACTGACGGTACATTCGATCTCGACGACTTCTTGATCACACCTGTTTCTTGCCACTCCCACCAGCCTGCTTGCGCTTAGCTCGCAGTGCGACACCTCCGTTCACACTGACACCTCTACCCACGATACTTCAGTCTTTCTGATAGTGCGCGACAACAACCGCCAACATCATGTGGGGTGACGCCTTACTGTACTTGGTGGGTATCGCCGTCTGGTTTCGTCCGCAACGACAGTTACCTGCGTCCGATGTCGAGATGGTCGTTAAGACTTATCTCGTGCTTGAACAACCTCTACCTACCATCACTGTGACCTTCACTGAAACCGTCGGAGGTAAGTTTCGACTACTCGGTGCTCACTTTGATATATACGATGACTGACCTCCCCTCTAGTCGTTGCTACCGCCATCACCCACGACATTCCTGCCATTCCGTCCACCTCCTCCACCCCTGTTCCCGAGTCCGACCGCTCTACTATAGACGGCTACGCCTACCCCTCCCCTGACTACACTCGGGCTGAATCTCGCACCCGAGCTCTTTCCGATGAGCTTCATCAAGATCGCCTGGCTGCGACACACGTAATGTGGACGCCTCAGTATTCCATGTTCGATGTCATCGCAATCTTCGCCGCAGTCTTTTCCGCCGCGGTCATGGCCTCATGGATCGCTATCATCGTCAAAGGCAAGGATCACGTCATGCTATGCCTGGGTCAGATCCCTGAATACATCGACGCTTCCTTTCGACACACTGGCTGCCGCATCGGATATGCTTGTCTGATCCTGGCTTGGGTAGGCTTGATCACCGACTACTGCATCGGATGGTCAGAAGGATACGTAGTATGGCCGAAGATAATCAAAGTCCTTTTCTCGTATCCACTCCTCCTCATCGCCCACTTCCAACTGCCGCCCATCGGCCACATTCTCTTCCTATGTGGACGGTTTGCAAAGACGGTTGCAACCGCCCCAAGACAATGGATTGCTAGACAAGCGAGACGTTGGTACGAAGCCCGGACAAGCACGCGTCGCATCGACAGAGTATTCGATCGACCTATCACCAGGATTACCATCGGAGAGTGCCTTTTCCCAGACCTTGCCGCCGCCAGACCGAGACAACCGGACACCAAGTTCTCTGTGATAATCAAGGCCGCTTTGAGCGACATCTTCTTTCTCAGCTGGAATCTCATCGCTCTTGTGATCAAGCTCCGTATCCGATCGTGGATGCAGATTTGGTCACACTCTCGCGATGTCACCTTGGTCACGATGGAAGAGCTTTTCGGCGGGAGCGACGATGCGTTCTCTTGGGACGTCTGGCTAGGATGCTACCAGACCGGCCTGAAGGGCCTTCGGGAAATGCTCTCCGTATCCAATGGGCTGATCAAGACGGCTCTCGGTGGGATTTGGGTAGGCCTCAAGCTGGTGAAAGCCGTTTCCAATCGTGCCCTGATCCGTCTCTTGGAGAGGAAAGTACCTGGCAATTTGACTCCCCGCGAGATCAAGTCTTACGAAGACAACGTCCACAATGCTTACTGCGAGGCGTCCACATACAACCACAGCCAGGTCGCCCTCCTTTTGCTGCGACAGTGGAAATCTCTCGAAGACGTAGCTCGTTTGGAAGCTCAAATCAAATACATGGAGCAACACTACGACTCTATTAACAGCCGCGAGATCGGCGAGAAGTGTGTTGGCTACCGTGCAACAATCATCGAGCTCGTTCATGACAACAATTACTTCCGTCTTCTGCTCTGCGCCATCTTGAACGCTCTATACAACGAACTCCATGGTCGAAGGCCCAACGATCTCAACGCCAAACATCCTTACCAGCCCAGCCAGCTTGAGTTCCGCGTTAAACCTGACCCGCGCACTGGCTTCTACATGGGTTATAGGGAACACTCGATTCGGGCCGTCAACAAATGGGATCTCGGCCATGAATACCTAAGGCAAGTCGAAAACTTCGCCATGAAGTACGAGAAGGAACCCATGCGCATGTCGATGATTCTTGCCTGGAAAGCCAACGGCCCTGGTAACGTTCCCGACAACTTCGATCCGTTTGTCAAGGATCACTGGGTCTTCTCTGGCGCCATACCTGGTCTCAACATTCCCGTTTACAGGTCTGAGCACAACCCGTTCAACATCCACGAGAAGCGCTTCCCGGTCTACGTCAATCCTGAGGGTCTTTTTGGACCCCAGATCGAGGACTTTGCCGCCAAGGGTCAACTTGCGCAGTGGGGCGATCCTAAGGCCATGAAGCCCAAGGTTGCTCCTTTCGACAAGGCCGAGCTCCGCAAGTTTACCGCAAAGATGGACTTTGGTGCTGCTCCGCTTCGCAAGCACAAGATGGCTTCGTTGCCCAAGATGCCCGCCTACTCGAGTGATCCGTGCCCGACTGGTGAGCCTAGGACAACCGACTTCCCGCTCTACAGGAAGGACTTTGCCTAAACACGGACAGAGCTCTGACCAAAGATACCAACGAACATGAGAAAAACGACGTCAACGCCACAAATCCTCATCGCACACCAACGCCACTCGAACACCCCGGACAACACCTACTGAAACCCCCCTCCACCTCCCCTCACCGATCCACTTCAATACCACCACCGCCTCTCCTCCCTCTACACAAGACTCAACACTGACAAGGTAGCGGCCCTGTGCCACCTATAGGGTGAGTAGCGCATTCGTGTGCCTCACCGGGTGCCCCACCGCGCCGCTACTAACAAACCCTTCCCGCCCTCTATGGAGTCAAGACATTGAAGCTCAAGCACACGCTATGTGTTGTTTGGATTGCCCGACTGTCTTGTTACACCAGCTCCTCACCTTTATCCTATGCAGCAGGTATAGCCCTTTACGGTGCCTGAGTGACTGAACCGGGGTTTACCCCGGGAAGGTCCCGTTCTGAAGGATGGTGGGGTGGGTAGGGTTTGTTTGTGTTGACATGCATGTGCTGGACGGATGGATAAGCGACTGATGGTTGTGATGTGGATGCTGAGATGGTATGGACGCGGGTTAAGTGGGTGTAGAAGGGGTGATTGAGTAGTGTAGTGTGAGATGAGGATGTTGTGGTGGTGATCTTGTGGATCTTGGTCGCGATGGTATCTTCAGGATGTTTTCTTTTGTACGATACCCCTTGCTACTGTTGCTTTTGGGCGCCTTTCAGGGCCGGCGTTCAGCGGGTGTTTTGGAGTCTGGCTAGGAAGATACCCATGTGTTTGGTTCTAGTTGTCGTAGTCAAGTTCGCTTCACAACTGGATAATAAACGAATTCCTAATACAAGTACCATTGTGACCACTGACGACCCGCTGTTCGTGTGTACATGTGAATGAAGTTGTGGTGATGACGGCACAGGGCAAGTGCAGCCGCGACTCAGGCTGCCCCTCCATGCCCCACCCAAAGCAGCTCTCAGTACTCAATTACCTGTTCCTGAGCTGCCAGGCAAGACTACAACAGCCACACCTCCCCGCTAGCCCGCCGACACACCCTACACCCCTCCAACATGCCTCAGGAAGCCTCCAAGATCTCCGACCCCGACGCGACGTCGCAGGCAGCGGCCGAAGCTGTCGCCGAATCGAGCAAGCAGGCAGAAGCCGAATCCGCAGACGAGAGCGGCGACGACGCGACCGAGACGGTGGAAGGCGCAGAGGGCGCGTCGGAAAAGAAGAAGAAGAGCAGGAAGCGCAAGATCAAGGATGCCATCAGCGGCAAAGGCAAGGCTGGCGAGACCACCGACCTGAATGCGCCCGCAGGAAACGTCCTACCGAAGGAAGCGATGAACATGCTGCTCGCGAACAACCCCGGCCTGGCGAATGAACTGCAGGGCAAGGCGAACAACAAGGAAGAACTCGCGCAATTGATCAAGAAGCTCAACATCAACGAGATGCTGACGGGTCTGGCGCCGCAGGGCAGCCAAAAGGACATGGCCAGCCACGCTTTCTGGAAGACACAGCCCGTACCCAGCTTCGAGGAGATGGCGAACAAGGAGAAGATCAAGGACGGCCCAATCAAGGAGATCAAGATTGACGAGGTGGACAAGAATCCCAGCCCAATGTACCCTGGCTTTGAGTGGGTGACAATGGACCTGGAGGACGAGAAGCAGCTGGAGGAGGTATACGAGCTGCTCACAAAC